AGTGACTGGTGGGGCCGCATCATCCTGGAGCGCTGGGGAGACCAACAGTGGACCCAGAACTTCAGGATGAGGAGGGACACCTTCCTGTAGCTCTGCGAGTGGCTCGCCCCTGCTCTGCAGAGAAGGGACACTCGCATGAAGCGCGCCATCCCCCTCCAGAAGCGTGTGGCCATCGCCCTGTGAAAGCTTTCCACACCGGGCAGCTACTGATCCATCGGGAACCAGTTTGGCGTGAGGAAATCCACCGTCGGAGCGGTGCTCATGCAGGTACGGCACTCACCGGCCACTGGGCCGGGGGGAGGGGGGCTTCAAGGAGGGAATGGGCCGCCCCAGGGAAAATGCAGGAGGGAGGAGGCGAAAGTGCCCCGCACGGGAAGGTTCGGTCTGTCCCAGCTCTACTACACACTGCCTGCGGCAGCCAGGATCGCAGCGGGGATTGCTTCTGGGAGTGGGGCGCGGGGCAGTGCCAGGGAATGAACACTCCCTATGTGTAGAGATACATAGTGAGAATGTAATTAATTCCCCTTCCTCATGTAAACTTTGTCTTTTGCTGAACCAACAAGTAAGTGTGCCACTCGTGACACAGACATTTGGGAAATGAACCTAGATCACCATCTATTTTCAAGAAGGACACCAAACAGCCATTAGATTTTAACTTTAATAACTGAATATTAATATTATAGATGGTGTAGGTACCAATGATCATTCTTAAGGTTGCCTAACACTTCCCATTATAAAGCCTTGTTTTCAGTTGTTTATTGCTTTACCAAACATTAACCATTCAGGTTTTAAGGTTTCATGTGCAACGTTAATTCTGTCATTTCTTACTTTTGGCTGCTTGACTTTGTGCCTTAATGTTTTTCACATACTCTTTTTGCTATAATGTAAAACTTACATAGCAGTAGTAATGAAACATTTCAGCTAAGTTAGACCTTATTGTACTAAGCAATGTACAATTGTATAACAAAGAGCTAACAATCTAAGATACAAGATGTGAGAGGTGATGGAATCAAACAAGCAGGATGACCTGGGCAAAAGAGGGCAATAATTACATATACTAGGATGTGCACAGTTATTCACTGGTCACATTGGGTATGTCTAGACTGTGTTGCTATTTCAAGATACCAGAAGTATCCTGAAATAGCAACGCTGCATCCCAAAATGACGGGTGTGCTATTCTGGTATCCCTGTAACACTTGTTCCATGAGGGTTAAGGTATTTGTCGGAATAGTGTCTTATTTTGAAATCTGGCACTGTGTAGACCACGCCAAATTTCAAAATAAGCTCTTCCAACTTAGACTCAGAATAACCTATGCAATTTGCATAGCGCAAATTACATAGCTTATTCTGACAGAAGGGTGCTGTCTTGATGCACCTAAGACTACGTCTACACTGCACATCAATTTCAAAATAAGCTATTCCAGAATTCTTATTCCAAAATAGCTTATTTCTAAATAGCACGTCTGCACTGCAGGGAAGCCTCAACATTAGTCCGAGGCAGGCTTCCCTAATGTAGACGTGCTATCTCTAATTAGAGCCCCCCGAAGGCACTGGGGAGGAATAACTTAGAATGGCCATGGTGAAGGGCTATTTTGAAATAGCAGCAGTGGAGCGACTACACGCGCCTTATTTAAAAATAGCTATTTTGGAATAAACATTCTTTGTAGAATGAGGTTTACAGATTTTGGAATAAGCTGCCCATTATTTCAAAATTGTTTTGAAATAACGGAATTGCTGTGTAGACTCTCGCATAGTTATTTCAGAATAACAGCCGTTATTCTGAAATAACTTTTGCTGTGTAGACACACCCTCAGAGTGATCATAGACTTCCACATGCTAGCCATAATCAAGTTGTAGTCTACTGTATATCCAGGGCCCTTCATTTTCAATTTTTTTAATGTAATTTTTCTAGTGAATTTCTCAGTATTTATGGCCACCACAATGAAAGTAGGTGAAAATCAGTGCAAAAAGCTATTAATAATTTTTCTGGTTAAATACTGGGGTTTATTTTTGGAGACAGAAAGATAGTGGGGAAATATTCAGTAGTTTCAGGTTTTACATTCCATTCATCAATGTGGTGTGCTGCAAAACTAAAAACAGAACTCAAAACACAATGCCACTTCTGAGTTTAAGAAAAGAATAGATCTCTAATCTCCAAAATATCTCCCTTTTCATTTGAATAAACAGTTTATTGTTGTAGACTTGGAACTATTAGAATATCAATATTTACATTTAATAATTGGGCCACACCATTTACAGAGCACACACTCAACTTTATCTTTTTCTCTTGTTTTTGTTTTTAAACATTTTAATACTTCCTTATGTTCTGAAACCCAGTCTTACACAGATTTTTATTTTCTTCCCATTTGAGCGTGTCAAATCTTTAAGCCATTATCTAACAGCTTGAAATGTATGGTGGACATGTTTGGTGGGCATCGATAAGTTCAGCTCTGCCAGGGATGGACAATAATTTTTGGTGGGAGGCCACTCCAAGATCTTGGAAAGTGGTAAGAGACACACTTTTCTGCACAGGGGGTACGGGGTCTAAGATGGAGATTGGGTACAGAAGCATGCATGGAGTAGGAGACTGGGGTGCAGGAGACACTGTGAGGTCTGAGAGGAAGTTTGGTTGAAGGAGGTGGTTGTGAGCTGAGTCAAGGGATTGGGGTAGAGGAAGGGAGTCTGGGAGCAGAAGAGTATTCTGGCCAGGGGGTGGGGCTTTAGGTGGGAGTGCAAGATCTGGTAAGGAGTTTTGACCTGGGGAAGGGGGTATAGAGGGTTTGGATGGTAACCTGGGAGAGGGAGCTGGGGTGCAATAGGGGCAGGGGTACCAGAGGCAGGCTTTGGCTGAGAGGCACTTTCCTAAGTGTCTCCTAGCCAGCAGCCCTGCAGCACCCCTTTTTTGTAAAATGTAGGAAATTGTCATTAAAAATCAGTTTAAACTGAAAACGAAGAGGCTTATGTATACATTATGGAAGATGTGAGTTTTGAGCAGGGTCTTGAAGAAGGATGAGGTGACAGCTTTATGGATTTCATGTGGGACCTCTTCCCAGTCATAAGGGGCAGCATGGGAAAAAGCACGAATGTCTTTACAGGCAGCAGGGGTTGGCAAAATTGGTGGAATAAAGGCAGGAATTGACTTTATAAGAAGATATTAGGTCTGATAAGGCAGCCTGAGGCTATTAAGCTTAGGTCTTACTTTCAAAGTCAGGATAAGAAAAGTGTTTTTGATGCAATGGGAAGAAGGGGAAGCAATGAGGGATAATTTAGAGGTGAAAGGCTCTGTAATCCATTCCCAATCCCCCAGACTGTATGGAATCAGTACAGAACTAAGTCTAGGTTATATTACAAGGCATACAATTGAGACCAGCATGGAACTATCAGACTAGTTAATTTCCCATTCTGGTATTCATGGTCCACATTTCTATTTCAGTTATGCACTAGGGTAAATCAAGAGTAACTCCATTATCGTCAATTGATTGACGCCGATTTAAGAGCTTGACCCTGAACCATTAAAATTAATGAGTTTTTCCAGTGACTTAATAGGGAGCAAGATCAAGCCCTAACTGAGATCAGAATCTGGACTTGTTTCACATTAAGAAAGTTCATTGAGAA